CCCCCCACCCCGGGGTTGCTCCTTTGCCTTGTCCAAGTCTCCTCCTTTTCCTCCCCCTTCTGCCTCGAGCCGAGTTGACGTGATTGGAAGCATGTTGGGCCTCTGCCCGAAGCCATGCGAAGGCAGCGCCGCGTGACGCAAAAACGGCGCAATACCACACGACGGCTGAAACGCGACGAGACGCAAAGCCGACGGGGCGCAAGAGGAGAAACGAAACCAAAAAAAAAAAATGCAAACTTCTCACTGGAGTCAAATGTCAACGAGAAAGTCAGAAGAGGCGACGGCGGGACTGAAGTGCGGGACGCTTGCTCGCGGCGTCCCTCCCGCGGAGAAGGCCGCTCGCCGGCGCGCTTTGCAGCCCGCCTCCGCCATTCAGTCGACGGCCTCTTCGCCTTTGCTGACGCACGGAGTCCACCTTGGCGCTGGCCGCATCGACTCCTCCGCCCTCTTAGTCCTCCGACCAAGTGGGATGACGCTGCAAAGTGGAAAGTGGTGGTGGGGGGGAGAGGGGGTGGGGGGGGGGGGGGGGGTGATAGCACTAATGGTTGTCAGATGTTGCAGTGGGAGCTTCTCATGTTTGACTTGACCAACTGCCAGCACGCACGCACGATGGGTTTTCTGACTCATGTGTCAACACGCAGAAGGGAGCCCGTCAGCACTTTTTCCTCGTCCGATCCTTCCTTCATCCCTTCTTTGTGCGCGCGCGTGCCTCATGAGGGCTTTCGCGCATTTCTGTTCTCCTCCCTGAAAGTCGTCGCTCCCATGAAGCACATCGAGTAGTACAAGCCAAGAACACAACGAGCATGCCGACCATGCGCGTGCCAAAGGTCCCCTTTGAAGGCCAAAAGAGAAAAAAAAAAAAACCTGTTGCCTTCCTTCTTTTTCTCCGCACTGAAATGTTCTCGGAAACGAGCGCGATCTTTTCCAACATAAATAGAAGCCCAGCTGCGCTCACACGCATGTGCGCACACACGTGCGCACAAGGCCGTCGGGCAAGGCCCGGGCCTTCGAGGACGCGTGCGGGCCAGCGTTTGCGGAACAAGACCCGCCCGCGGTGGCGCGCGCAAAGGACGCCAACGTGACGCGGCGACGCCGCACATTTCCTTCCGCGGGGTGCCGGAAGCGGAACCGCGAGACTCCGATCCAATGCGCATCGGGTGTCGACCCCCATCTGTGACCGCTGCTTGCCGTTTGGAGAGACGAAAGTAGCTCCGTACGTTGCGTAAGCATCGCTCGTTCCCGTGGCCTTGTGGCTCTCGTTTGCACAGTCTCGTCCTCGTTTCGCAGCGGTCGTCAGGACGCGGCGAGTGACTCTTCGGCCGGCTTTGGCCAACTTTGGCGGTTTGCGTCAGGGCCCGCCAGCGTCAAAACGCGAGGAAGTGGCGTCCTCTGGTGGACACTCGCCATCCCCGCGCGTCTCTCATGACCGAGACTTGAATTTGTCATTTGTCGCTCATGATTTTCATTCCATCGTATGACACGGGCGCCTGTTCAATTCAATTCATCCGCATCACTTTTGGGGGGAATGAAATGAAATGCATTCAAATTTCATGCGGGCCGAGATGAAAATCGAATGTATGACGAAATAGGACCATTAAGGAAAAGAAATGCCTTGCCGTCATGTCACTTGAGGGTAATTCACTCAAGTCCAATTCTGTCCAATAAAATGGCGCTCAGTGTTGACTTGCCGTCAAATAATTGAAGTGAAAGTCACCCAAGTGAAAGGATGCCGATGAAAGGTCAAAAGGTGAGCCGAGCGCTTGCATCATGCGGTGAGCTCATTGGCATCATATCCCGTCACGGGTTGTTGCGCTGGTGACAAAGTGGACCCCCCTCCCCCCTACCCGCCCAGCCACCTCCCCACGCCCTTTCTGCCGCTTCTCTTCCTCGTCATCGTCAGGAGTGCGACGGCACAGCCGGCCGACGCTTGGGCCTCCACCGGAGCGTGCGCGGTGACGCTGCGCTCCGCCACCTCAACCTCCGCTCGACCATGGGGTCCTTCTGCTCCGGCCTGGACCCCGGGACCCGCATCGCCGCCGCCGCTGCCGCACCCGGAACAGGTCAGATGTCAACATGGCGCCTCCCGCGGGGCCTCGCCGGTTGCGCGCGTCGCCAACTTCTCGCCGACGTCTTTTGAAAAGCGATCGACGCGCAAGCTGAACGAACGCGGCTTGTTGTTTTTGGACGCCGCGCGCAGCCGAGGACGTCAGCGCCTAATTATGCCGCGCTGATTGGAGAGCGGCAATCAACGCGCCATCAACGGCACGACTGACCGAACATGCGGTCGCCACGGCGAGTCCTTCTTTGCAAACTCAAACGGACGCGCAACATCCCCATCAGGACACCGATGACCGATAACCGTGAGATGAAAATAACTTACGATAGGTCCAATCCAAATCGGGAAAAAAAAAATCTCAAATACATGAAACAATTTAAGTTAAAAAAAAAAACATCTAGTTATTTTTGTCATATCAATCCCAATATTCTAAAAAGCGAAAATATCCCCGAAACAAATCAGAATCTTTTTCATGTAAAAAATCTCAACGGAAAAACCATCACGAGTCGAAAAAAAGCAAAACGATGAAAAAAAAAAAAAAAGGGTCTCGTGGGTCTGTGCTCCCATTTGACCAGCAGTGGGCGCCAAAGGGTTTGAATTCGGGTGCAAACTCTTCCAATGTTTCTTCTTTGATTTTTCAACTGTTCATTTTTCAAAATTCGCTCGTCTCACTCTCCGTTTCATCGATCCATTTTAGACCAGAAGATTTTTGGGGTGCGTTTCATTCATTGATTGAACTATTCGAATCTTTGATACGTTCGGAAACTCCGAAAATGTCGACCTCTGACTTGAATTGTTCCCATCTGAATTTGTCAACGTCCCGCCAACAACGACGCGCAAGTCGGGGCGCTTCTCGCAGCGGGGAGCTTGCCATCATTTGCTCGCTTTTTGTCTTCTTCTCCCTTTCTGTCGTCGCCGTGGAGCTCCACGTCCGCTTTCTTGGCAAAGTGTCCTTGTGCGTGTGACGTCACGGCTCCGGCAGGTGACCTTCTCCGGCCGACGGGAAGACGCGGCCGGGCGCGGAAGAGCGGCCGCGCGGCGGCGGCGGCCAATCGCGATGCAGACGAAGACTTCCGCACAAGGTGCCCGTCCGCGCCGCCGGCGTGTCGTCGTCTCAAAAGAATAAAAAAACAAACAACAAAAAAAAGACGATGGAAAGCAAAGAGGAGGAGCGGAGGGCGACAAAGAAGGAGAAAGGGAGGGAGATACGGAGTTTGAGAGCAGGGAGGAGAGGGGGTGGAAAGGGGGAAAGGACCAGACATTTGAAGGAGGAAGGAAAGGGGGCAGGCGAGGACACGGGAAAGTAGGGAGGGGGGAGGGGGGGCGTGGAGAATAGGAGGCGAAGGGCGGCTGAAAGCGGTGATGACAGACAGAAGAAAGAAGGAGAGAAAGGACAAGTGCGCTGGCTGATGGCGCGTCGACTGCAGGATTCCATCACTCTTAGCAACCGGCCCGCTTTGGCGTTGCCACGGTAACGCCGGCTAACGTGCTCCGCTGCCGCCGCCCTCTCTCTCTCCCTCCCTCTCGCTCTCTCTCTCTCTGTCCATCCTCACTGCCGTGCGCTTCCTGCCTGCGTTGCCACAGCGACACAGTCCTGGACGAGGAATCCGATGCTCTGGAGCGTCCAGAAGTTCGCAGCTCCCGCTTTTCCTCCACCTTTCCCTCCACCCGTCAACTCCTCATCATCGTCGCAGAGATCCGTCCGTCCACAAACAGGAAGTTGAGGAACTTTGGACCTTCCATCCTGGCCTCCTCCTCCCCCCGCTCCTCCTCCTCCTCCGCCTCCTCCACGCCCACATGAACACCCACGGCCAAGAGGAGGCCCCGATACCCCCGGAGGAGGAGGAGGCGGCGGCGCAACCGGGAGAGGCGATGGAAATCGAGGAGGAGGCGCGACCGGAACAGGTACAGCCGGCTGACCAGGAGCAACGGGGGGAAGACGAAGAGGAGGCGCAACAGGCGGTCGACCTGGAAGAGGAGCATCAACCTGGGGAGGTGCACAATCAGGAAGCGGCGGAGCCGCAGGGTCAAATTGAGGAGGAGGTGCAGGAGCAGGGAGAGGAAGACATCAAGGAGACGCCGCAGGAGTTGGTGCAGCGGGCCGCCGGTACGGAGCAGGTGGGTGCACCTGAGGAGGCGCGGGTAGAGGACGAACGGGAGAATGGGGTACGAGAGGACGAAGAAGAGGGTCTGCGGCAACGGCAAGAGCAACCCATCAAGGAGATGCCGCAGGAGGAGGTGCAAGAGGAGGAAGAGGAGGCTCAACAGCTGGAAGAGGTGCGGCTCGCTGACGGCGTGGAGGGTCACGCTGAGGAGATGCGGCGGGAGCGGCTTGAGGAGGAGCTGCGGCAGGCGCAGCGGGATGCCGTGCCGTCCCAAGAAGAGCAACCGACGGAGGGGGGGCTGCGGGAGAACGCAGCGCGGCAGCAGGAGCGGCAACAAACGGGGAATTCGCCGCGGGAAGAGGAGCGACACGTGGAGGAGCTGCCGCGGGACGAGGAGCAGGAGGACTTTGTGGACTCTCTGGAGCAAAACCACAACAGTCAAGTTCTCATTCGCCTCAGAGGAATGTAAGTATAAACGGCGGGATCGGGACGACGGGGGGCTGCGGGAGAACGCAGCGCGGCAGCAGGAGCGGCAACAAACGGGGAATTCGCCGCAGGAAGAGGAGCGACACGTGGAGGAGCTGCCGCGGGACGAGGAGCAGGAGGACTTTGTGGACTCTCTGGAGCAAAACCACAACAGTCAAGTTCTCATTCGCCTCAGAGGAATGTAAGTATAAACGGCGGGATCGGGACGACCGCCGCGGCGTCCGACCGGATGATCCGATGTCATCGCCACACCGATGTCACGGCACGGTGCATGGCACGTTGC